GATCCTTGTTTGTACGTACCAGGTAGTCATGATATGTCTACTGTAGTCCCTTCTTTTAACTCCACGGCGCCAACGACTTGCTTTTCATTTACAATACTTACGCTTTTCTCGTCTTTCCGTTAAACAACGCTAAAAACCCATCTTTAGAGATGCAAAACATTTAAGAAAAGAAATAACTTCACGCACGAGCGATCAACGGATGAAAAGTACATTCAAAGATGAGCGCCAAACGGAATTTTCTTTGTTTCCGATCAAGGGCATGATCACGTGGATATTTTGGGAATTGTCATTGGCTAGTAAAGGGAATCCACTGGCTTGCCCGATTGCAGTCTCAAGAGAAGCCCGCAATATTAGTTTGATTTCTCTGACTGGTTTTTTGCTTTTGGTTTTGGACGATGGATAACCTTGGATCCGTGTTTTGACGATGATATAAATAATGATGTGAACTCACTCTATGTAGAAATAATCGACAAGAATCGAACGTACTACAAATCCACGATTTCTGGCCAAAAGTCGTCGAGGAAACGGACTCGAAACCCACTTGAGTTGTGTTTACGGCAAAAGGTGAGAAACAAGTAACACAGCAAGGCAATCACAACTTTTAATACAACAACAACAACAACAACAAGCCTTTATTTCATCTCGAATTTAAAATAGCAAAAAAGAATGCTAATATCTCCGAGAAAATAAATAAAATGAAATAGTTATGGAGAATAAGATAGTCTCAGAAAGTATGAGAGATACCTAGATGATCACAGTGTACCAGTACCCAAATCAACAAAGTTTGACCGCAACAATCGTTCAGCAACATGTTCCAACACAGCCATCTCGATTCCTTAGTCTTTCGTTTCCACTGAACCAGCAGTGTTGCCAAAAGAGTAAAGTGCGTGTCACAACGAAGAAACATTTGTACAAGAGAAGGGAGCGACTGTGGTATGTTGAGATTCTCGCCTACAAATGGATGTGCACATTCTGAAACGTTCCTCTGTTTATGATTATGTTTATGTTACTTTTAAGTTTAGCACATCTGTGGAGATGAGACATTTTGCATCACAATAAAAACTTTTATGATCATGGAATCCACGAGGCCTTGAAGGTTGGAAAGCAAATCTGTGATATGAGTACATTGGATTAGTTGACAATTATTTTAATCGACGACTGCTTCATGGGAAAATGCTAATTAGTTTGAAACATAAATTTCATGATGAACATGTACATATATGTATATCTGTTGGTATTTTTTGTAAGGCATACCTTTCACTGAACCAAAGTTTTAAGCCTCCAAAATTACTTCTTGTCCTAAAACCTTCAGATTCCAGGTATTGAGAATTTCTTGGAATTATTTGGACTTTGGGGTTATTTGAATTGCCTCAAATTCAATTCGCAGAAATTCCTAAGAATTCCACCCTTCTTAACTTATAAGTAGTTTGTATAACTGAGAATTCCTTGTAAATTATTGCTAGGAATTTCAAGTCCTCACAAAACTGGAACCTTCCTTTCCCTGAAATTCCCAGTCATTCCAAGCTTTTCAAATCAGAGCTTATTTGCATTGTTGGGAATTTTTGAGAATTCCCAGGAATTCCCAGAAAATTGGGAACTCAGTCCGCAAGGGCCGTTACATTTTTCAGTATGTGTTGGTGCATTGCTTGATTTTCATCTGCAGCTCAAATTGAGTTATTTATGAAATACTATGATCAAATTTGCCTCTAAATTTTTCCTATGAGCATGTGGCTTTGTAGCTGACAGTTGGTAGTAGACTGCCCGACTAGTATCATGGAGGCAGGGGTTGAAATCTTTTCAAAGTATGAATGTTTCTGGTTTATTTTCTGCAATTGCTTTAAAATAAATTGCACTTTACTTGTGAGGATCATTTCTTGGCTTGAATTTCATCTGCATGTCAAATGAAATTTATTTCATTAAAATTTTGTCTTCCATAATAACTGAACAACTTGTTAATGTCACCATTTGCTGAAAAGGATATTAAAAATTGAATTATTTTATTTCACTCAAGCATTTTTTCTTTCCGTTTTGTTTGTTCATTTGTTTTTGTTTTTGTTTTGTTTTTTCTATTATAGTAGATGACACAATTTATCAGTTAGTTCAACATCTCAGAAAAGTTTAACATCTCAGAAAAGATCATTTATTTAATTGATTTCCTTTCAAAATTGTGGAAATCCTTAACATTGTCATGAACATCAAGCCTTGAATAACTCTTGCAGGTGGTGAAAGAGTATGCAAGTAGTCAGCTGAAGAAATGATTTTCAATTGTAGCAGAGGAAAACAATTGAAAAAACTATGACATTATTTTAATGACTAACCAACTGACTCACATGTATGCTTCAGCTGCAACTGAATTAATTAACAAAATTGGTTCCTCCACTAATCTCCTTTTAAGTTTACGAATGATGACATCATCTGAGTTTATCGCTGACAATACTTTTCTCTTTATTCTTGTCCTTGGTCAACCTGACCAAAAAATGATCATACTTCCTATACAATGTTTGATTTGAGCTTACTTACACCTTCCAAGCAGTCTGATTATTATTATATGACTTTTTCCTTCATTTTCTAAATGTGCAAATGAAGGAGCCTCTCTAAATAACTGTTTTGACCGTTAAACCCCCGAGGGGGACTGGGTTCTAATTTCTCCTCACAGTATCACCCTGAAATCAAAAGTAAAGGTCCAATGAGAATAAAGGAAATTCTAATCACCAATTCGACAAGCTCCTGATTGGCAAACAAATTCTCCTTGTCAGTTTGATAGGAAATGTATAGAGAACTGTGTGGAGAATATCATGACTAGTAATGCTCGATTGTAAGGGTTCATTGACAGTCAGGCTTCTTGAATAATCACTTCAGATTCACACAGAGCCCTGGGGTCTTTTGAAAAGTTTACAGTTTTGTGAGTGACATGTAGTTTGTGTGGTTTCTTTTAATTTTGCACCAAGGCCATGTTATTTTTACTTAATTTTAATTTTAATCTAATTTAATTTATTTGCCACGGGAATGGCAGGAGAAAGGAACAGAGCTTTCGTCCCAATTGACACCTAACCCCATATTCTCACTAAACAGGCCAGACCACATCACAGTAATCTCGTGAGTGGGTTCTTTAACCTCCCCTGCCAAACCAAACTAACTAATTAAAAAATGCAGGAGACGGGACCCACGGTTTATTCGTCCTTATCCGAGAAGACTAGAATGTCTATCCATTTCCTGATATTATAGAAAGAAAGCTAGCACATTCTCCTCAGTTATTTTAAGACCTTGAATGTTGGTCCGGCTAAGGCGTTTGTGTAAAACGGATTTCATCACATCGTTTCAGTTCGTTTTCATGCTGGGAAGGTTACTTTATTTATTTCACTGTTTTTGTTGTTGTTTTGCCTTATTTGGTTTTGTTTTTATCTTATAATGTATTTACGTCTTTCTTATCCCCTACAGCCGGACTCAATGCTCGTAAAATGGATGCAAGCTGTTTTGATAACCTTAAGAGCAGCTGAGGTGGCCTGTGGAAGGATGACTTGCCCTATTTCTCCATATGTCCACTGAAGGGAGAATCTTCTGAAAAAATTATTTAAAGTAGCTATTAAGACGTTCCAGCTTTTTGCTTTCTGTGGAAGACGCCTCGTTCCATCACACGGAGGCTGATGACGTCGCCTTTCAGTAAATGAAAAAGCTAAAGATGGAGCGTACCGCGTCAACAGCTAGGTCGTCATGGATGGAAGAAAAACAATTTAATGCCCTCTCTGGCAGACATTGTTCTGGCGCTGCTAAAAATACAATTTGAATTGTAAATTGGCGAGTTGTGGTGGTTCTTGTTATAGAGGAGACACGTATAAATATATCGAGTGAGTCTGCCGTTGAATCTGTGTTTTTGACGTTCTAAATCTCTGTCTTTCTGAATCAGTCAAACTGCATTCGTTAACATTATCACTTAACTGATTTTAAAAGAACATGTGGTCTATTAATATGTGCAGAATCATTTTGGCTTCAACGGCTCTGATTACGGTACATACGTAATAGTGTCAGCACAGTAATAGTAATTGTAATAAAGTTTAATGTCTTAACGTGGGGCATGGTTACCCATATTTCCCGAGCCAGAGGCTCATGTATGAAACGCAAGACAATAACCCATCCATCCCAACCTTGGGGAGGACATACATTACACAGTAATCTCGTGCGTGGGAAATTAACGTCTCCTACCCCTAACCCTGTAGGAGACGGGACCCCCATTTATCCGTCCCTATCCGAGAAGAGTAGAATATCTAAGTCATTTCTTGATATAGAAAGGCAGCATATTCTTTTCAATTATTTTAAGACCTTGTGTGTTGGTCCGGCTGGGGCTCGAACCCCCGACCTCCCGCACATCCGTCAAGCGCTCTACCGTTGAGCTAATCGGGGGCTGTGATGCTACATCATACATTAAGATATAATTGTCAAGAGGTCATTTCATTCCAGTGAAAGTTTAAAAAGCTTTCAAATGAAATAAACAACCGAAACCAAGCAATCCTTTTCGCGAAATAAGGAAGAGAAAAACATCTGAATATGAAAACCAGGGTGAGAATGGGTCAGTGGAAGTGGGATAGTGTTACAGGTGCGCAGTGCGTGCTACGTTTCAACTCTTATCAGTTTCTCACCCTTTTTAAACGGAATTTCAACTAAGAAATCTGTCTCAGCCGTTTTAAGCTTGGTTACTGTAAAGAGATTTTTTCTATTGAAGATATTATTACTCTAAAGGATAAGAAGTTGTGGGCCCAGATCACTGAAAGCGATCTACAACAGCTTTAGATGACCTTTTGCCACCAGGGCGACCAATAGTTACGCTACGTAAGAGGCGCCGTAATTATATGCTCCCGCTTGTCAGAACTGAACGTTGGAATAGGAATTTTGTTAATAGATGTTTGTTCTCTTGTTAGTTAGTTATCTAGTTAGTTAATTAGTTTTGTATTTGCTTAAGTTCAGATCATTGTAACTAAACACGTTTTGTTGGTTAGAGTGCTTAATAAAGACCTTTGTTATTATTATTATTGGATTCAAATCACATCCTTAAATCATCACTTGTATGTAATATTACGTCCTGCAACAGCAATGCAGCCAATCAAGAACATCTATTCTTGGGAAGAAGACTTTGCATATTCCGCGGTTAGTTGGGCAGCAGCAGTTCATCGAAATGTTTACTCGGCAGTCCCTGCCGTCTCCAATTTTCCCGCCGAACTCAACGGCGATCATTTCACGGTTCGGAATATATGTTCCTCGAGCAAACACATTCAGTATCTGCAAACAATACAACAAGATGCATTTCTATTAGCTTATTGTTTCTAGTGCGTTTCTCTACAGAGCAGGTCACCAAAAATGGAAAATAGGTCCAAAGTTGCATAATTCACGACCAGGGCCCGCGGAGCGGATTTTCAAGTGGGGGGGCTAACGCGAACGCGCAAGCGTGAGCCTTTGAAATATTATTCTTCTGAAATGGCTAGAAATGCATCCAAAAAACGCTAACATTAAGTTAATTTTTAATTGTTTTCAATGA